CACAGTTCCGGCTACAATTGTTTTGTCATCTCTCTAAAATATATACACAAAATTAGAATAACATTTTTTCAACTAATTATTAAATTGATTTTCATAGACACATGAAAGATATCAGTTTTATTATTTACGAAAAGGAAATGTTGAGCCGGGCAAATATATGAGGAATTGTACACATATAGAAATATGATTGAATCAATTAATAATTATAACACATACCTAATAGATTTAATAGAAATATTGTTTCGTTTTTGATCAAAGATCTACATTAATTAAGAATTCAACTTACCTAAAAGACAGAAATTCAATATCAATAAATATGAATCAATTTAACTAAACTTATATTTACTATCAAAAAACAAACATTTCTAACAGCCAATTTAGGAATCTGAATGGTTAGATTTATAAAAATATAATGATAAAATAAAATAATAATTTAGTATTGTCAAACTGCATGATTGATTTTAGTGACAATGGGAACATTTTGATACGAAAATCAATTATCAGTAATTGTCAAAATGTTGTCATTGCCGGTAGCAACTATAAGTGTCTCACTCTTGTCTTACCATGCTCATCTTAGCATTCTGCTAGAAAAGCTAAATGTCAAAGTTGAATCACTGGAAAAGTTATGCAGATTGCATTTTCTTTTTTGGAACTGGAAATCGGATAAAAGTTTACATTTCACAATAAATTGATCAACTTTTTTATGGAACTTCTATGTTTAGGAAAAAACCTTCTACTAATTAAATAGTACTTGAGAAATTATAAAAATTTGTCTATTCAATAAAAAAAAATTGAGGATCCCTGAGTCAGATAAATTTCATTAGTTGCAAAAAAAATTACTTTTAGACTCAACCTTGGATAAAGTGTAGTAGAAAAGTCAAATTTAATTCATATTCTATTTTGAAAGATAAGATACTAACACTTATATCAATACTAAGTACTGGACTTGGATACGTAATATCATGTGACAGTTGGAATGTTGATACATTGTAAATCTTAACATGTTTGTCCAGTGAGGCAGTTACGATGGCTGTACCTTGCTTAGCCAAGCATAATGCAGTTACAGTCTTATGGTTTTGAGTGAGTTTAGCCAACAATTTACCAGCTAAAACATCCCATATACGAACCTCAGTACCACCTAAAACACAATTGATAGTAAATGTTAAAATAAATAAAACTTTATTTACAACTTCCAATTTATAACTAATTTTAAAGGTAAATAAAAAAAATGTATATTACCAGCAGATATAAGTAAACTGCCAGAAGGTAAAAATATTAAGCTTTCTACAGGTGACTCGTGGTCAACTGACATAGTTACTGATTTAGTTCTTGAATCGAACATATTTATTTGTTTGTCATAGCCACCAGAAACAACTACATTTTCAGAAACTGGAGAAACACAGCCTGCTCTGATATAGTCCTAAAGAAAAATACAATTACATTTTAGTAACAATATTATGACAAACCTTTTACATTGATCTTATATAGAAATTATTTAAAATTTTATTTTTATTATAGTAAATTGTTTACTGCATCAAATATAATTTTTATTTATTTATTTTTAGTTAACTTGATATCCCATGTCTATTAAAATGTCCATGATTTAATTATACAATAATTCACCTACATTGATGCACTTAATCTTGTTTTAATATTACAACAAAAGTTCAAAAGGGAATAAAACTCTTAAGATAAATCAATAATGACGGTAACAAGGAATTTAATTATGAATATACTACTCTGTAATTAGTGAAGATTAAATTCAGTGGTTTGCTATTTGCTTCTGTACAGTAGGTTTATTAAACCTTAGTATAATTCTGATGTATGCGTAGCATAGTTTTTAGACAAATGATTCTAAAGTATTTGGTTATAGTGACTACCGACATAGTGCATAACACCCAGCGTGTTCGATATCTCCGACAATTAAAATCAAAAACAACTCTCTACTTGTTATTTAAAACCACATTGGGTAGGTTTTGAGGTAAGGTCAAGTTACTCTGAAACTTACTCATAGTGGTTTTATATAGCAAATTGAGAGATATTTTTGTACCAATTGTCCGAGTAACCACATTGGGTCTATATATATAGGTACTATGGTTGGTAGTCATATTAACCCAAAAGTACCACATAAACTTAATTTTTTTAATTCTAAATATTAAAAAACAAATGAAATGATTACCTTATGATATCCTTCATAATGTCCACTTATTTGTTGACTACTTATATCCCATAAAGAAACAGTTTTGTCATCTGAAAAGCTTGCAATGTGATGTCCATCTCTTGTGAAATATGTACGGTGAACAGCACTAAACCAACAAAATCAAACTTTAAAAATTAAGAAGAAAATGTTAGAATGATAAAATATACTAACGCTTTATGCCCTCTAAACTGTCTTAACATAGACTTTGTATTAACTTCAAATAATCTCACAACAGATTCCTCGCCACCAGCACATAATAACTGACCATCTGAACGAAATGTTGCACCATAAGCAGCTTCTTTAAATTTATTGAGATTTTTAGTTACTACTTTTGTAACGGGATTATATACTTGGACCTAAAAATAAACGATGATACTTAAATATTAACTTAGATAACTTATTGAAAGAAGTACTGACCCGAGCAGAACATGAAATTGCAAAATGATAGGGTGCACGGCGTGAAAAATGTACATAGTCAATGGGACCAAATTCTTTGACCAATACAGGACTCTAAACAAAATTAAAATCAATAAAACACAAGAACACGTTCAAATATTTAATAGATAAGTACTTACAGTAAGTTTTTTCCAATAAGAGTCTTCGACAGTATACAACTCACTAGGACGAGCAAACGGTTTAACAAATGATTTTTTAAATGAAGACATTATTTTTCAATAGTATATACCTACTTTCATGCTATTAAACTATTTATATAATTATTATATTTTGAGCATGGCTAAATAATAGCACAGAACAATAGTAAATAATAAGACAACGTACACTAAAATTTTGAAAATTCAATTTAAGGCACCTATTGCATATTTACTATCAAAATTAAATTAATGTCAGTATGAATTATAACCTTAAAATATATCTCATTGTAATGTCAGTGTAGCCAATAAATGTTGTAATTACATGTTTTTTTGTAGGCATGATTATTGTCCTGTGGGCTGTGATAGAAAGAAAGAAAGAAGAAAATTATTTTCTGATATGAAATGTGACTGAACATTTATTATTAATTTATTCAGTCATGTGAAATGACCAATAATAGTATAATATATATTATGATGTGCAAAAATGAAAATCCTTCAATTGTGTTGATATTTTTTAGATACGACGTTAAATATATAGTTTTGTATTCTGTATTCGCCGTATTCCTGTATAGGTACAAATTGGTGTCTCTTAAATACATCGCGGTATATTTGGGTGTCATAGGCGGATAATAAAATTGGTCACATCCGTAGGGAGGCTTAAAATGTTTACCTTACACATTTTCAGAAACATGGATGAGCTGCAAACTAAGGCTTTCATGCAAAGTTATAGTTGACGGCTGTATAGAAACCTTATCATTTAGTCAAAAAATATATCACTTTCCTTGTACCCATCTACCTAATTATTATTTTATTTAATCTCTTATTGTAAAATTTAAGTGCAAGTATAGTTTGTACTTTTCAGAAGTGTAGATTTAAATTCATTAATGCTAAAAAAGTTGTTAAAGAACGAAAAACAATAAGTCACATAAGTCTTATGAAAACTAGGATGAATAAAAATAAGATGACTATTTGAAACCAAATTAATTTAGGTTTATAATATAATAGCACAGATCATAGTATAGTCTAGATATCTGTGTATACCAGTGGCTTCCAACATTTTTCATTCTACACTCCCCTTGTAAATTTACTAAAATCTCATTCCCGCCTCCCTTAAATTAGAGTTTAGGAGAATTTTTTTTGTGTGCCGTACAAATAAAACATACAAATTAACTGTATATTGTATAATATACAACGAGTTACTTTTATTATTTTCATCATTTTAAAAATGTATTGTAAATCAACTTACTAAGTAATAATATTAAATATAGGAAAAAAATATTGAATATAAAAACAAAAATATTAACATTTTTTTTTTATAAGAAATATACCATCTGTACCCAGAGACACAATAAGAATATGGGCTAATTTACAAAGACGTGAATGAGTTGTTGGAAGAAGCCACCCAGTAGTGACACTTCCTATTGACTTATTTTTTTTTTTTTTTAGTTAAGGAGATCTCTGCACCATTTTCTTTTTAGTCGTCGATGAGAATTACCAGGAATTTCGTTTGACGCTAATGCACGGATTAATGGATTTGTGTGGGATATGAGACGATCATGAAGACGCTTATAGAAGTGTTTTGCTTCTTCTTAGACAGTTTTTAGACGGAGATCATTGAGGAAGGTGAGATTTGATATGTAAGGGGGAGAGTTTGTAATTTTTCTAAGTGTAATATTTTGAAAAGTTTGAATTTTTTTAAGATTTGAGATTTTGGCATAGCCCTAAAGTTGTATGCCGTAGGTCCATATAGGTTTGAGAAGGGATTTGTACAATAGTAAAAAATATTAACATAAAGTATAAATAATATCTCGGTCCTAAATACCTAATATATAATTGTTATTTGTTATCGATGCTCGATAATTTGAAAACAAATACCTATGGTGTTTTCAATTTTACACATTGTAAAATAACATAATTATTTTCGTAAATCCATCATCACTATATCCCCCCCACCCCCCAGCAGACTATAAATTTCTCTCAACACTGTTGGGAACCGCTAGTGTATACTATTTAGAAATCTGTGTATTGTCTATGGCCATATCACAAAATGGCCTTATTATCACATCCATAATATTCTGTGGGTATTATTATTCTGTGTTATTACTTATTATGAATAATAATGTGAATATTGATGAACTGTATGTATTATATAATATGTTCATAAGTATTATATGCTAAGTATTATAATATAGTGTATTTCAAAATGTATTAATATACTATGATAATATTTTAATATTTTTGTGTAGAAGAAATTTAACTTTTAACTTTTAAGCAGTTTATTTCTGTTTGGTGATTTGAGTTAACAAGTATTACTTAGCAGTTATAATAATTGAAAATAGATTTTTAGATTTAAACTCTAGTGTTCTGGTATCCATTAGTAAATCTTTAAATTGATTATTATTTATTAAGAATATTATTATTTCAGTCATAGAATAGGTACTTTAAAAATTGATTATTACAATGATTAATCATTATTGATCAACAAAGTTTTTTGGGAAAATTATTAAGCTGTTAAATAGATTTGTAATGGCTGAGAAAGCAGCTCATCATACAACAACTATTATAAATCGTCCATCAATTTTTGAAGTAATCGCTCAAGAAAATCTATCTTCAACAATTTATCCAGCATTAAAAAAAATTGTTCATGTGAGTTCTATTGATATCTGAAATAATTGTATAATCATATTTTATTTTAATATTTATATAGTATATTACTAATAAAAATCCTGGGCAATTAGAATGGCTAAACAAATATTTCGATGAAGTTTTCCTAGCACTAAATACTTTATGTCAGTATCAATATTTGAAGAAATATGGTAAGAAAATCCTATGTATCTGGTAATCTATATTTTAAGGTAACATAATATTATTATTCTTTGGTTATAGATCAAAATACTGTTTCTTTGTGTTTTAGGAGGAACATTCTCTGAAAACTTTTATGATTTAACCAGAGTTTCTAGTATAACCAATTCTAAACCTGACAATAATCAGTTGTATTTGGGCTTAGCTTTAGTGGCTTGTGTACCTTATCTACGAAACAAATGTGATATTTATATTGATAAATTACAAATGAAGTATAAACTGCAACTGAAGCATGTAATCAAATATTATATATTTGTAAAACTAATTTAATTGAATTATTAATCTTGTCTAACTGCCACATAAAAACTGGTCATCTTATTGTGATTCTAAATTTGAATAGAATATAGATTGTTATTTTAATCATGTAAATATTTAAAATAAATATAAATAATGTAAATATTAGATAACATAACATGTTTAATGTATCCTGTTAAAATGTAATATATATTTTAACTTTTTAATTCCACATTACTAACAAAGTTTCATAATTCTAATAATAATATTTTTAATATTTATTACAATTCTGGAAATGTTAAGAGGACGCTACACAGACATTTGTTGTCTCCATCTTACAAATGCTAACAAACCAAATGTACACTCAGCTGATCACATTTAGCTTTGTTTTTTTTTAAAATTATAGTAAATTGACCTCTTATGAAACTTGATCGTAAGAACATTATCTGTGTTAACATGAAGGTTTTTTTACTATAATTAAGTTTTTAAGTGAGTTATGGGAATTTTTAAATTATGCTATATTACAGACCCAAATCTCTAAAAAATTGAACTATTGTAAAAAACCCACATGCAAATACAGACATAATGTTTTTACCATCAAGTTTCATAAGGGGATTCACTCTTAATTTTTAAGCTTTCAAAGCTAATAACGGAGGCATCAAAAGCATGTTGTGTCCTCTTAATGCTTTAATAAAATTGAAACCATTACAAAAATTAATTTAATATATTTTAAAAGTATGTGATAGTTTATTGAATAATTTTTACTGTACACTAATTTATTTATTTTTATTTTTAGAAAGTATTCATAACATTAAATAAAATTGTTCATACATGTTGGGAAGCATTACGTTTAACATACTATATAAAATATATCAATGGGTCCAGTCAATCACATTCTCCTTTATTAACTATGGCAGGATTGGCATTAACTTATAAGAATATTGAATCTTCAAATAATGAATCGTTTGCTCAATTAAGGTAAATTAAATGAGTATTAAATATTTTGATAGGTACGACAAATAAAAATTAGTTTCTATACTTAGTCTCATATAAGAAGTATAACTTTAAGCCACTACTGATTTTTGTTTAGGTCTGTCAGACCCAACCTCTCAATTAAATGATTTTTGTTATCAGATTTTGTTTCTTATGATTATGTACAGTCTGAAGAATTGCTTTTCCATTATTATTTTGACCAATGTTCACTTAAAAAATGAATTCATTAACTTTTACATGCATTCCTTAAAAAAGAAACTCGTTCACATTCAATGAAAAAATAAAAAATGAATGCGTTTCTAGGTTGCTTATTTAATTTTTTTAAAACAAGAATTATAATAAGAAAATATTTAGATGTATATATAAGTTGTAAATCCTTAAGATAGTAATTGTTGAGCTAAAATGGTTTTATACCAGCAGCTAATAAAAAAAAAAAAATAAGAAAATATTATTCTATAATATAATTAATCAATATATTTGAAACAAATATTTATTAAATGGCATTTTAATCGAGTGTCTTTAAAATTGTTCAACTTCATTAAAATATAAACTTTGTTCACTTTCAATTTTAAAAAAACAATTGATGTTCGCCAATCGTTCATCAAATATGAACATGCTTTCATGAACAAAATTTTTTCTAAAATACTGATTTTAACCTTAGCAAAAAACAAGTTAGGTGGTTGTTTAGTTGTTTAAGAAAGTTACACACTCAATAATGTAATACTTAGCACTCTTTAACCACAAGCAACATATTACTTCCCAAATATATGAGAGAGGGTATATTAACATCTTACAATTATTTTTATTTACTTATATTTTGTATATTTTATATATTATTTTTATTTTTTTATATTTCGTATATTATATATATTTCAATAATAATTTTACCATTTTTCAGTATCAAAGAATCTATTAAAAATTATGTATTGTATGGATTATCTCATTCCTTGGAGTTAGGTGCATTTTTTATGCAGTTTTTGAATTGGTGGCACTCTGAAAATTTACAATCAAAATTTATTGCCTACCCAATACCTAATCCTCCAAAGGTATTTTTTACAATGATCTAATGTATTGCTGTACTCATGATATAAATAACACGGTAGTATGGAATAATTGTAAAAGTCCAGTTCTGGTTTTGGTTCAAGTTATACTTTATTACGTTTCTTACCTACCCATATTATCGATACAATTATATTGACTTGCGGCATGCATGTAACCTACTAAAACTCAAACAATTTGATCGTCATAACTTATAAGATTATCTTACCACATTATTATGTTATTCATATCATGGATGTACATCATAGACTTTTTAAAATCTATACTTGATGTTGAATTAGTAAAAATAATATTATATCAAAAATTACAGAAAAATGATACATATATTTCCGTCAAAACCACTAATAAGTGTCCTATATGTGAAAATGAAAGAAAAATGCCGACCGCACTTACTGTATCAGGGTATGCTATTGTAGTTTTATTTATTTAAATATATTTTAATAAAGTATAATAGAAAAAATGATAGGTTCTATAATTTAGCTGGGATTCTCTAACATTTTTTTGATGTACCACTCATGTTTATTATGAATTGATCACGTACCACTTATGGCTAAAAATAAAACTTTTCAAAATAATTTCAATACACATTAGGCTCTGATCGGAGCAATGTATTTATTTTACAATGGTATTTTTTTTTTTTTGGTGTCATCACTCATTATCTTTTAGTACAGTAAAAATGCTTATTTTCTACTACACCAGCTTTTCTGGTAGGAGAGTGAATCTAGTTGGTACTTTGGAGGGTCAAAAGTAAAACAAATTCAACAAAATGAACAGTTTTTTTTATGTTTAAGATTTGAAATTTTAATATAATGTAAGGAAATTATTCCACTATTAATAAATTAAAAAGTTATGTGGGGAGTTAAATTAATTTTTTGTGAGTGTTAGAAGTTAAAATGTTTACAACAGCGGTTCCCAACCCATGGGCCGCTAGCAGCTTGGTACTGGGCCGTGAACCATATAATATTATTATATTATTTTAACTACCGTATATGCTCACGTATATAAGTAGGCCTCAGAGATTTTTTTTACTAAATTGGTGGTGTGCACAACTAAAAAGGCTGGGAACTGCTGGTTTACAACATGGGATATTCCACTGGTAATTTAACAATTTTCTTATTTTGTTGTTATTTAAATACAAATAACTGTAAATAGATACTTGAAATTTGACATTTTTACCAAATGATTATGTTAGCATTTACTATACATCATATTTTAAATATGTTGACTCTTTTTGAGCTATTTGCGTAACAAATTTTTCATTTTTATTTTTTTCTGTAAATATCAATAAAATATTTGTCGCTTGATCAAAAAGCTTGAATGATTTAATAGAAGTAGCAGTTCAAATTTGGACAAAAATAGATGTTTGAACAAAGAATAACAATTTTAGATATTTTACTGTGGTTCAAAAGTATTATTTGTGACTAATGACAGAATATCTTATTTTCTTTAACAATAATTATTGATTTCATTGTATTGAATTGAAAGTATCACGTTTATTAAATTGACCTACATGACACATAACGTGCATCAGATTGATATTGCCCACCTTTTAATCAATAATAATTTAGGCACATTTACAGTATATTTAGTAGCTGTTAACCACATAAGACATAATATAAAGTAATATTAGATTAGTAATAAATATTAATTTATTGAATTTTTGTACTACCAACACATGTTGTGTCACTGCTGCTCAATAGTTTAAATTGGTATTTATAATTATTGTTAATATTTATTTGTACACTAAAAAAATCTAATTGACTGAACTATTTTTCAATTATTTTGAATGTTGCTTCATGATTTTTGTCTTACTTTTAACATTTTTGTGCTTAGGTTTGTATACTGTTACAAGTGCTTACACAAACATCTTGTGGGAGTAAATTCTACATGTCCAGTCACTAAATTACCAGCATCAATGCAGGATATGATAAGAATTTACACTGATAATTAAACATTGCATTAAAACTCTATGCAAATGGTAATTGGTTTATTATTGAATATCTTATTTGAAATTTGTTTTGTTTGTCAAATAAATATACATATTAATATTTTGATGTTTTTAACTGCAATATAGAGTAGGCGTCAAACTATTTTATGTATTTTCATACCAAATTATTCAAACCTAAACCAACCTAAACTTAGTGTTGGATGGTACATAATGTAAGTGACATATTGCTGTACTAGTAATTTCATTATATTATATTCAAATTTAAATTTACTTTTAAAAAGTAATTTCTAGTGTGTCTTGGTCTTTCTAGGTTTCTAATGTGTTATTTTTTCACCTTATTAAAGTAAGTTATGAATGTATGACAAAACCATGGGACTAGGATGTTTAAGAAAAATTTATAATCGATTAATCAATTAGTTATATTAAGAATAATATTATTTAAGATCCTAATAATTATACTTATACATTTTGTTCACACATAATATTAAGTCATTAACAATGTACCTACATCACAATATAGTACATATACTACTGTACTGGCTTCACCACCATCCACTGTGGAGCTCTTATACTGAATTAATCTCTCTACACCAGCGGTCGCCAACCGGTGGTCCGCAGAAAAATAGCTAAAAATCATCTAGAATTAAGTAAAGCTCTACTACTTGTAGTGACTACATTGGAGCCAAAAATAGCACAAAATAAATAAAAATAAAACATTTTTTTATTATTTTAGGTATGTATTTATTTTATATTAATTTGTTGTAGAATTTATTAGTAGTGGAACGGTATTTATGTAAAAAGCTATGCGTGTTCCGTAGAATTTAGAATATAGTTTAAGTGGTCTACAAGGTCCAAAAGGTTGGTGATCGCTGCTCTACTCCGCAAATTAATTTATACATAAACTGTGGAAGCTGGATTTGAATAATCCCTTAAAAACATCTCAACCTTGTTTTCAACCTCTAACAATCAGTCCCTAACCTACTACCATATCCCTAGATCTATAAACTCATAATAGATCTATTACCACACCACTCATTCAAATTGGAACTTAATAATAGCTTGTATTGTTCCCTATTCAACTGTGGTGGGGCACAGTTTTAATATTCGTTTCTCAATTGTCCATCACTATCCAGCCATAAATTTCAATTAAAGACCATTTTTTCCACTTTTGGTGTCAATTTCTCTCTTATTAATGCTCTTTCAGCCAGTAAAATAATTATAATAACTAAACATATCCTTAACTTAATACTACAGACAGGTCTAAAAATATAGTGTGAGCTTTACCTGCTTTTTTCTTTGCACTTTGTCAATTTTTACAGTTATTGTGATATAATAATTTTATGTTAGAATCTTAATATAATAAATAAATTAAAATAATTATAACACGAATGCCATTTAAATAAAAATATTTAATGTTATGAGTAACATAATTTTAATACTTTTCAAAAGTAATTTACCCAACACTGCCTAAACTAAGCTTAGATACATTTCAATGCTAACATTAAATGTAATACACTATAATGAAGCTTATTTTTTAATGAAAAATAAAAACTTTTATTGTATTAATAATGTATCTTATCACTTTTATTAACAAATACATGATTTTCATTTGTCATTCTAAATAATTAGATTTATAAATATTACTTTAATAATACATCCACGTATAGATAATATTTTATTATTCAGATGTTGACATTTTATCCACATAATTAGTTGTTTTTCAAAAGGAACTTTTTAACATGTTCAATCTGAAAATTAGTAAAGAATAGTTAATATATCACTTAGCATTTTTATAATATACTAAAAATAAACCGTCAAAAATGTTTGATTTTTTCTTAGACACGAAAGAGTAATCATAGATTGGAAAATCTTACTGGGATCAACATTTTGGTATCTTTGTTATTATAACATTTCAATAAAATGTATATACATATCATTTAAAAAATTTAAACAAATTTAGGCCCAAAATAATATTATACTATTAGTATATTATATTGTTAAATAAATACCAATCATTAACATTAAAACCAGGCACTTCTTCTCCTTCACTGTCTCCTGACATTTCATCAGCATTTGGCGCAAGATAGATATCAGAAATCTCACGACCGGCACTTAGTGAGGTGAATAAAGGTACAAGTTCTCCTTCGCCACTACTAACAGCTAAATCATCCAATTTTTTGTTCAGTTGAGAAATTTCAGTTTGTAATTTTTCTTTGCGTAGTTTATTCCATTCGACACGATATTCCCTTAATAATATCAAAACTATTATTTTAATGTTTTAATTAAATCAAATTAAATATTACCTTTGAAATTCCTCAGCTGCTCCATCAACCATTTTCAAAAATTCATCAAAATTATGGCCTGTAAATGAAGATACTGGAACACATTTAAGTTCATTATAAAATTCATCTAAAGTTAATGCCATAGTACGAGTCAAATTTGACATATATGATGATTCATTTTCCACAGCATCACAAAATGCTTCAAAATCTTGCATCCATTCAATTGCATAAGTTGGGTCTACAATATCACTCTAAATATACAAATAAGTCCAAGAATTAATATATTATTTTATTTTTGGTTATTCATATCACAATTTATTACTAAAATGTTGATAGTAATATTTTAAACTAGATCTCCATTATTTATTTATAAGAATGAGATAACTTCAACTAATGTACAAAAAAGTTATAAATTATAATTAGAGGTAAGTCAAAATGTTTGAAGTATACAAATTTAAACCAAACTTAAGGTGTTCGGCTTAAAAACCTAGTTTTATAAAAATTAAACTGAATTTTCAAAAAAAAAAAGTTTTATATTTCAGTTTGCCACGTAACTTAAAAGCTTGATTTGTTCTTTATTAAATGAAAGGTTTAGAACACAGGGTTCAGTTTGATATTGAATGAAATATTCGGTTTGAATTCTCTATATTTTTCGATTCGTCCTTTGGTTAAAAAGCTTGATTCGATACCAAATTTTTGAGTTTGATGTACCTCGAATTATAATGTATAACTTCAGTGGAGATTTGAATATTATTGTTTTAATGCTTTCTGTACCCTATAGGTATAGTAAAAAAATATAATAAAACAAAAAAAAGAATATAGTCATTATTGCTACATTTTACATTCTATCATTAAGATGATATTTTTTAAACATTTTTAAAGTAGTCTAAGAAATAGATTATAGCGTCTCAGCATACTCCATGTACTATAGGGAAGTAATTTTTACATTAAATAAAAAACAAAAAGAAATAATAAAGTATTTTTAAACAAACCTTGTTTAAAACTACAATAAATGGAAGTTTAGTTTTGTATAATACAGAACACGCATATAACATGTTTGACATAAATGTTATTGGACTAGTACTTCTTTCTAGATCCATAACATAAACTACAACTGTTGGGAATGTTGATGCAAGACTTTCAGTAAGTATTTGACCTGATGCTGACCATGTGAAAACTTCAATTTGTCCAGGTGTGTCTATAACAGCTATATCATGACTGTTTTCAACATTTACTTTTACTAGAAGGTCCATTAACTGATGAAATTTTGTGGTATATAAATTTAAAGAGGTTACAATCGCGCCATTGGGACCCAAACCATAATTCTTCATCACTTGTTTGTATTTCACAGAATCTCTAATATCTACCAAGAAAAAAACATACTAAGTACGTACATCACATTATTTTTTAATAGAATAAAATTGCATAAAGGATAATACCTATATTTGGTGTGTATGGCATATTTTTACAAGCTGGGTCGAGATTTATCAAATATGGGGCCCTTTTGTATTGCCGAAGGTAAGAATTGAGTTTTGAAACAAATGTGGTTTTTCCTGAGCCAGCCATACCCAACACTATGAGACAGACGGGAGAATTTGAAGCCTCATATTCAGTCTTATCTTCAATGCCATCGCTACAGGATGGGGTTCCATCGTCGCAATCCATATTTAAAATTATATACTATTAAACTTTCGTTTAATCCGAAAATTAAATTAGAATAATAACAGCCTATAACGCACACATTAATGCTTAAATGATTTTATATAGTGAACGCACGTCGCACGTCTCTGACTGCGGGACTTCAAACGTTCATACGGTATTACAACTGTTCGCAGACTCAAGTCCCAGTGTACGACACTACGACTATCAACTATCAACAGTAAACAAGTTATCATGCATTATTATCTTTTATCATTATTTTAACGACAAATGTTAAATTGACAAAATTCCGCAAAATCTGTGCTACAGACAATTATATGTGTGCAAGGTTTGATAAGATATAAACCATGGTAGGTGTGATATTATTATAGCAACCACTTGCTTATAGAATATAATATACCATTATAACCTTACAATATAGTAGTACGAAACGTGCGTAAATGTAATGTTTATTCAGTACAATATACTATTTGAATTATTTTATATTTTTATCTTTGATTTTAACATTTCACCATTATTTTGAATTTTTCTAATTTTTTTTAGTACAATCTTTAACTTATTGAAAAATCATCATGGTTCGTAAAAAAATCGACAATCGGATCAGAACACTGATTGAAAATAGCGTTACAGCCGGTCATCGTACAATGTTTGTAATTGTTGGTGACAAGGGTCGTGATCAAGTAATATTAATCAACATTTTCTACATAATATAATTATTTTATATTTTATATTCATGCCTGTTTTAGGTTGTTATATTACATCATATGTTGTCAAAAGCATCTGTCAAAGCTAGACCAAATGTATTATGGTGCTACAAAAAAGAATTAGGTTTCAGCAGGTATTTATATTTTTTTTAACACAGTACAACTGAAATTATTTTTTAAAATTATATTTAGCCATCGTAAGAAACGTATGAAAACTATACAACATAAAGTGAAAGCGGGCAAACTTAATGTAAATGAAGATGATCCATTTGAATTATTTGTTGCCTCTACAAATATTCGATATTGCTATTATTCAGAAACTCATAAAATTCTTGGCAACACATATGGCATGTGTGTATTACAAGTAAGTTAACTACTAAATTAATCTTTTATTGTATACATTTATATTTGTATTATTATTATTTTAAGGATTTTGAAGCTATGACTCCAAACTTATTAGCACGTACTATAGAAACAGTAGAAGGTGGTGGACTGATAGTATTTTTATTACGGTCTTTGAAATCTTTAAAACAATTATATACCCTAACCATGGATGTTCATGAACGATTTAGAACTGAAGCTCACCAAGACGTTGTTGCTAGGTTTAATGAAAGGTAAAATATTTTTAAGTTTCTTTCAACATTACAATTTTTACAATCCATTATTTTTAACTAGGTTTATGCTATCTTTAGTATCATGTGATCGATGTCTAGTAGTTGACGACCAATTAACAGTGTTGCCTATTTCATCCAAAGTACTTGATTTAGTTCCTGAGGAAAAAACTAATATTCAATCAATTAATGATCAAGAATTAACAGCGTTAAAAGAAAATATGAAAGACACACAACCAGTTGGATGCTTAGTAAGCTGTTGTAAAACTGTTGATCAGGTAATTAAATTAACAACTAGACTGTAACTATTTATTGTTGTACTATTAGTATACATTAAGAAGAATTGTTTAAATAGTGTTATATTTTAGGCCAAATCATTGCTGACATTTATTGAAGCAATTTCTGAAAAAACTTTAAGATCTACTGTATCCTTAACAGCTGCTCGGGGTAGAGGAAAATCTGCTGCTCTTGGTATAGCTGTTGCAGCTGCCGTTGCATTTGGCTATTCCAATATTTTTGTTACTTCACCCTCACCTGAAAATTTAAAAACATTTTTTGAATTTATTTTTAAGGGTATTGAATATAATTATTTGTTCTAACATATAAAATACTTATTTTCAATTTTTTTTTTACGAAGGTTTTGACGCACTTGGATATCAAGAACATTTAGATTATGGATTAGTTAGGTCAACCAATCCTGATGATAATAAAGCCTTGGTCCGAGTAAATATTTTCCGAGATCATCGACAAACCATCCAAGTTTGTTCTATTTATTTTTATATTGTAAATTCTTTTAATCAGAACTTGTTAACCATATGTTTTAGTATATAGTTCCAACAGAATCAAATAAATTAAGTCAAGCAGAATTAGTTGTAATTGACGAAGCTGCTGCTATACCACTTCCACTTGTAAAGGCTATGCTTGGTCCATATCTAGTATTTTTGGCTTCTACAATCAATGGGTAAATTACATTTTATTAGATGAGTGATATTATATTATCATACCATAAACTGTCCAGTTTTTTTTACGTCCAAT